GTTTGGAATTATTATTGCTAGTGTGACAGTGATAGTTGTTTTGCTTCACATAAAATGACAAAACTTATGTCTGTTTCTTTGCATACGATTAGCTGTTGTTTGACCCTTCGCCATCTAACAAATTTTTCCGATTATTGGCAGGTCAGTTCTTCTGCTACACCGTATTATTTTGTAGTGTTTGGACATGTTTTGAGCACCGATGTTTATTAGATTGGATGGTTTACGAAATTAATTACACTATGAATGTTTTGTGAAAACTGCAAAATCAACTTTGAGCTGGAGGTATTGCAACATTTCCAAACTATTTAAAAATCATTTACAAGTTGCATAGGTAAGCGCAATTTGCGTCTTCACCTCCAACCTCTATACAGGGCATATATTTTATTTCAATCTGTTTCTACAGAGTTTTGATTAGCAGAGTTTTGTTACTGACAATTTCATGCGTTTTACAGTTTCCCTTGGTTCTACCTCTTCAGGGTGATTCAAAGGTGGGTTTGAAGAAAAAAATCATAATATACCCATTACTCATATCCAATTCTCAAGAATTACTATAGAATAACTTAAAATTTAAAACCCATCTTTGAGTATGTTCATTTGTCACCGATCTTTACGACATTCCGTATGTTCTCATCTTCGACATATACATGGAAATCGTCATTAGTCGTACATATCCGTAAAAGTTCTGGCGTAACAACAAGTTTTAACGATCTCCTGCCGATTAGTCTGTTAACTGTTTGAAAGGTGTTTAGAAGACACATCACTACCAATTACTATCTGCCTAAATACCAATCTGGATTTCGTCCTGCGCATAGCTGTAGTACCTATATGTAGCTTCGACGCTCAGATGCTGTTACCTAAGCCTGGACGCTGAACAAATATCAATACATACCCTGCTGCATTGAGTAGGCCTTTTGATACAATATGCCATAAAATATTATGCGACACCCTACGATCTATGCATTTGAGCGTCTAAGCTAACTCGATTCAGTCATACTTGAACAATAGATATCCGCGTGTCACCTTCGAAGGGGAAATCTCAAACCCCCTACGAGTTGTGCAAGGCGTTTCCCAGGGTGCCATTCTCAGTCCTCTCTTGTTCAGCATTTATGCAGATGTAATGCAGTATTTGTTAAATATGCTGAATTACGCACTGCTCAACTCAATATCGATGATGATTGATAACCTGAGAAGAATTTGCGCTTATTTTTGATCGCACCATTTAGTAATAAACCTAGGTAAGACACTACTCGATTGAGTACATAGGGAACCTGATGTACGTATAAGTGGCGAACGAATTCCCGCTACCGATTGCATCAAAAACTTACTCCAAATCTTACACTGTAAATTATGTTCATACCTTTTGAATCACCTTGAATGGGCGAAAGATCGTTTTAAAGTATATTTAAAGTATATGCAATTCGTGCATTTTATTTGCAAGCGAGGCGTGGGATTTGATACTATATTTATTAGAAATCCAAGGACCAATAAAAGATGTTATAATACATTCTTATTGTTGCTACTAATTATAGTGCTTGTTTTATTTATTGTATATAGGATTTAATTATTTATATAAGTTATTTTTTCCAGGACATGCAGATTACACCGGAGGATCAATTGTGCATCTGGTTAAATAAGTTTTGCTTAACAAGTACATATATTGTTTCTACTGTGAATGTGAAAATCCGACAACGTAGTTGGAGAACAAATTTCATGTGTGTCTTAATAATCAAATATACTATTACCACCAAGGTTATCACACACGGTATAAACAGTATGATCTGACTATAGGCACAGATTAAATCTGTGCTATAGGTCATACTCATACAATTGTTCAAATGAACCAACACATGATTCTTATACGTTTTAACAAAGACATTTCTGTCCTCAGTAATTGCCCAGACGGTTTTCGTTTGGACCAACATTTATGTGTAACATGTCCGCTCCCTTTAGATTTAGAACTTGTCTCTGAAGAGTGTAGTGTAGTCAGTTTCAGTACATCCGTGCAGATATTTTTTGATGAGGTGCGAGATGAGGTTGGTGCATTCTACCCTATTTCGACGAGGGCTACAATTTGAATCAAAAAGTCTAAAAAAGAGCAAGGCCTTTATTGCTTGATATTTGCTCTAATAAGTGGTGACCACTAGAGTGATTTGGTATATATTGAAAAACACGGCCCAATTCGGTTTTAGTAATATAGTAATATTAATGAATTTGTCAGCCATTTTTGGATAATGTAACAAAGTGGTATAATGTTTATCCCATGCTCACGTGTGAATGTTGTTAGATCTTTGCTGTACTTAACCTTCAAATTTATTTGTGTTTTAATTTTTGACACAATGGATGGCATTTGTTTTTGGATGGGTCTGTTAAACCAAATCAACTAACAAGTAAAAATATTATATTGACTGCCTGACTACTACAAAACCCTTCATCTTAGATGTACAGTAGGTATTTAATTACAAACTGTTTTTATTTTTTAGTGTATCCATTCGCAAAGAAAGAGGGTTCCCACACGTCTTTTATTTACGCAAAATGTAACAAAGTGATATAATGTTTATCCCATGCTCACGTGGGAATGTTGTTAGATCTTTGCTGTAATTAACCTTCAAATTTATTTGTGTTTTATTTTTTGACACAATGGCATTTGTTTTTTTATGGTTCAGTTGAACCAAAGTCTAAAAATATTACATTGACCGCCTGTCTACTACAAAACCCTTCATTTTCGATGTACAGTAGGTACTTAATTACAAACTGTTCTTATTTTTTAGTGTATCCATTCGCAAAGAAAGAGGGTTCCACAAATTTACACAAAATGTCTCCGAGTTAACGTGAACTGGGTAACGTTACTTCCCTATAAACCTTACATTTCCTTAAAATTTTCGTCTAGATTTCCTGAGAGAATTTCTTCTAGATTGCCTTAGAATTTCCTCGGAGTTTCCTCTTATTTCCTCCAAATTTCCTAATATTACCTAGAATTTCCCAATTCTTTTGAATTTTCCTCCTATTTTCCCAACATTTCCTAATATTTCCGCAGAATTTCCTCTAATTTCATCCATTTCCTACATATTTCCCAGTTATTTCCTCCAAATTCCCTCTTTATCAACTTCTTGGGTCTCCTGGCTACGCATTTGTATGTCACAATTTCTCGCAACTTAAACGAAATTGAAATCTTAAAAATATTAAATTTTTAAAAAGTGACTGATACGCCGATATTTTATCGGTATCGGCCAAAAACGCCGCATCGGGCGATCCCTATGCAATAGTTTAGCCATAATATGGAAAAACATTAAAAGTTTACACTTTTTGTTACTTTGGCACACTTGCGCATGTGCTATTCTGCCCATTCTGCTCTTCCTTTTATGTCATGTGTACCAAATTTGGTTTCAATCGGTTCAGCTGTTTTGCCGGAAATGAGAGTACAGGCAGACAGACTGACAGGGAGATCGATCGACATCATCGATAGTTTGTTTGAATGGGATTCTTCAAGACGTTTATTTCCGTCAAAAAAGTGGGGTTCATTACCCCATTGCAATACCGCCCTTAGTAATGTGCCGGTGGTAAAAAGGTAAACACACGCTGCAGCAACACACCACCTTTTGGATTGTAAACAGCATACGATTGTTGGACTATTTTCGTATTTCACGCATGTTTATTTGGCACTTTCGTCTAACGAAAGCGTCAGACACGAGTGGATTTCCGTACCCGTGTCATTGCGTGCTTTAGATCGGCCTCCCCTTGGGTTCAAGTTCGAAATACAGAGTGTACCAACTACTAAAATGCATTAAAAAACTTCGAAAGAGTGAGACCTAAGACATTCTCAAGGGAAACTTTCGAAAGTTTCGAATTACTAAGAGTTTTAATTATCAAGAGTTCGACTGTATATGTCGTAGTCTTTTAGTGAAATCAGTCATTTCACGAAACGCCTAGTCCGAGGCCTAGTCATTTAGTGAAACGCTGAAAATTTGTACGTGTGGGGTATTTTCCCTTCCCCTTCTAGATCGATAAGGATACCATTTATCGATCTCTAATGGGAAGGGAATCCAATCGCTTGGTCTTGGAAAGTAAACTGTTCCACAGTTTCATATAAATGACTAGGCGTTTCGTGAAATGACTGATTTCACTAAAAGACTACGACATATATACTTAAAGCTTATTCTAAGACAAATTGGGGACGCTACTAACTTGGAGCAACATTTATAATGACTGTTGTAGAATCCTTATAATGGCTATATAATTCCTTGTGATCTCTAGTAATGCCTTGTAATGTGTTTCCAGAATGTCAAGGTACCTAATGTGAAATACTTCCAAACATGCTATCCTGTACACGTATTTCCATGAGTGGTTGCCTCCTTGCTTTGTATCATCAATGCAATTTTCTTTTCTTAGACTCGGTGTTATTTTCCCTAAATCGGTTTGGAATACAGTGGCCTAATTAAATTTTTGTTAGTGTTAACTGTGAGTACTTGTAATAGTCAATCAAGTGGATGTTTAAATACAAACATCCCTGGATTGTCTCAGTTGATTGCAATGGAAGGTGCCCGTTTATAGCTTGAAGTATAAATTACTTAATTTTATCTAAATAGATACCCTTTCTAGTAACTAATATTTTGCCGCGTCTTCGTTCTAATAGGGCGCACTCTTATCTTCAACAAACTCAAATTTAAATAAGCAATGAACCATGTAAAATCTCTGAGACCGTTATTTCTGAAGGGGATAAGAAAGCGTCGGACTTAATTAAATTTTTGACTCGGGACAATCGTAAATATGTATAAAACGCCCTTTCTTAATAATGCAATCTCGGTAGCTAAGATAACTGCATTTTTTACGATTAAATTTTGTATTACGATTCGGAATCAATTGTATGTAACGCGAATGAATGCAAATGAGGTATTGTGTTAACGGTAATCAATTTTTGTACTTAGTCGGCAAACGGCATTTATATCTACCTACGTTAAAAATTTTTCAATGAATAAGCAAAATTAAAGATTTTTATTACTTACCGGCCCATTTTCCCATTTCACCGAAATTTACGCTTAACCCCAGTTTCGGGGCGAACGTGTTATAGAGTAATCTGCAAATAAATTTGACCAAATGGAATCCAATTATCAAAACACACACCGACGAAATTGTTTGGCAGACCGACATTTTATAATTTAGCGCAATTGATTACTGATATCTAAAAATGAGTGACATTCAAACCACTTATGCTACCGCTGTTCAGTATGTGGCGCTTATAAACACGTAAGCTTATCAGTAATGATAAACACGCTAATCCAAATCAAACGATTTTGTAATACGCTAACGTCGGAGTCGCATGCGCTACAATGATGTTCTTCACCCCTTTCTCCTAACTCCGTCTTTTTTTAGTTCAAGTGCCGTTCAAGAGAGAAAGTACACGCTATACCCACACGCATACTAAATATTGGAACTTTCACAATTTGCACATTCTTACATGTAACAAGTACCATACAAAACTACCAATTCTTGTAGGTCAGTGGGCTGAACAGTTCGCCGACCCAGCTTCCCTATTATGATATTATACTCAAAATCGAAAGTACGCGATTTCTCCCCCTAACCGTCATGTCTATCGAAAATATTAGCAATTGAATCTGGAGCGTTCTTCCGTTTTTTTCCCTTTTGCTGCTCGACCAAGGAAGCAGTCGCTTGCACGCAAACTTCAGGCGCGTAGTATCAAGAGGGGTGGTGTGGTAAATACCGGTACTGCATAGCATGTGGATCTTTTACGCTGCAATTACTATTTACAGTTACCATTAGACTTGTTATTCAACATCGAACAGAGTTATTTTTGCTAAAAAACTAGACTTAATCTTGTGTGAAAATCGGAATTCATGGGAAGGCGAAGGTTACACAATTTGATGTACTCTTTAACTATTCAAAAAATAAATTATAGGTACCAAATTGTATTTAAGTACAGAAATTACTCTCAGTGTCGAGGTACAATAAACCTTCACGTCATCGCTTGCCTGGTAGATGTTGTAGATGAAAGCAGTCCTGCAAAATGCCAAAAGTTCAATGAAATTAACTTATAAGAGTTCCATTTAAGTCACGTGAAAGCCAGCTTTGTTTTCTCAAGACAAAGAACTGTTTGTTTTTAGGATTGGTATTTTGTTCTTTTACCAAATTTCTCTTTCATCATTTTAGGATCTCTGTTTATACCATTTTCTGTGTTGATCTTGAAAAGATATGACAGAGTTGTTAGTTTGCACACGACCCCTATTCCGCGTAAGGATGCAAAAGCCTCTGAGGGTTCCACTTAATCCCTATTTTTGGAGTTGGCGGTTTTTTGGGAAACTAAAAAATAAAAGATATTATTATAACACTAGTTATAAGATTTTCATTGAAATGTTGCCATTTTTGATTTTTTACCATTTTTTTCCTCAGTACAGTTTTGTGGGCCGCGAAAAGCTTTAAAATGACACCAAGTATGTATACCTTCCACGTCCGGTTGCTGATGTGTGATGTATACTGAAAGTTATGCAAGGGTAAAAATGACATGTACTGTTTTAACGCGGATTTTTTTGCATAACTGCAATTGCGTGCGCTTAAGATCTGATACTCTTAAAATTGAGATATTTAATGTGCTTACTATTTAGTACAATTGCATTTGCAATGTTATGTTAGCCTTCCCGCACTTGCATGTCTTGGAGAGTCGAGTTCTGTGCAGGACTCTGATACCTCTGGGATTGTGATCCACATTGGGTTCCACTTCTTAGTTGTCCATTTTCTAACCAAATTCACTTGGACTTGGAATCACAGGCTGCGTCTGGTCGCTTGTAATCCAAGTACTAGCTTGGAAAATGGTGCGCTTTATATGCTGGATGCATATTTATTTGTACCTGGGTAGGAGGCAGTTTCTCCATGATGGGTTCTTGCTACAGACTATTGCCATCCGGGCTATAGAGAAGAGTTAGGTATATAATATTGAATTGGGTGTATGCCTATTTTTCAATTTATTGCTTAATTACAAGCACACGTTGAGTAATGTATAGCCACAGTTTTTTTCTTTAGTGGAGGCATACGTGGCTAAAATTTCAAAGAAATAACTCCACAAATAAAAAAGTTGGCGTTGCGCAGTTCGCGCATGAGTACATTTAATTTATGCTATAGATAATAATAATAATAATAGTAATATCGTGTTTATTAGATTAAAAAGGGCAAAGTTCACCTAGGGGCAACATCGCCTGAGTGATCGCCACCAGGTGTTCTTCCACTTAACCCATAATATAACTTCAAATTTAAACGTTTACAATTTCGATGGAGGGGTGACAAAGAAAGAACAAAAAAAAAGAAAAAAAGGACAATACTGCAAGAAAAAGTTAATTAATAAGCAACTTGAGAATGGGACGCTTTACTCTTTCAAAAATTTGGGACGTACTGCTGATTTAAACCTGGACACTGTAAGCTTTTTAATATTCGATGCAATGGCATTGTAGACATTAGTAATGTTATATGAAAAAGATTTTTTGAATCTACAGTATTAATCGATTGAACATTTAAAAATAGAAAAAAGGTTTGCACCTTGAGGCATAGCGCATATTCCATGATGAGTATGTGTACAAAGGAAAATAACTAATGGGCTTCTCCTTCTCTGGCATAAATATTCTTATAAATAAGAAACTGAGCATTGCGCAAATTTCAAAAAATATCTCTATAAATAAGAAAGTTGACATTGCGCAGTTTGCGCATGCGCACATTGACCACCAAGATTTTTCTTGGTTGAGGTGCCAAAAAAGATCGAATTAATATCTCGAAAACTGTACGAGTAGCAGCCTCGGACGTTTGAAAATGCGCTAAAAAGTAATTTATTGTTTATTGAAACATGTTTGCTTTTTCTATCCCAAAAGGCTATAGTAGTTGAGCAATCAGCAGCAATATTTTTCATCGTCTCTTTTCCATCAATGCTGCCTGGAGTGCATATAGTCTTGTAGAAGTACCTTCCTAGAGACATCATTTCTAACCCCTATAATGATCTTGTAGTAAAAGACAAAATAATCAAATACAATACTCTTTAATTCTAATACGACTTCTAAAGGAGGCGCCTGGTACATTTCGTGTATTATTCGTTTCTTCTCCGATCACGACCGCACACTTGCTTGCCTTGCAATGGCAAGCAAGACTGAAAGCGTTCAACATGTCCTTTCTATTGAGGGATTTTGCTGTGTCCCAAAAGAAATTGGACGCAAAATTTCGTTCTGGTACTTACTGACCAAACGAGGATTTTAGTTAAGTTTGAACATAAAGTTGTTTAGGACCAATGAGATTTAGCCCCTTCCGTTGACGAATGGACTGAAAAAATGCACGTTAGGGGCTGTATGGGATTTACCAATAAAACCAATTTTTCATATTTAGGATATACACACACGGAAAGGATGGCAATTATAGGTTTTATGAGACAGGATTCTCAACAATCGTGCTAAGCGAGGTGCTAAGTTTCCATTAAACGACAGTTTTGGGGCTAAATTCGCCTGCATTGCTGTGGATGTATAAATTTTCAATTTTGTATTTATTCTGAAATAGAAATCTCAAAGAAGGTAGGTATACAAACACTAACATTCGTTCCATGTGACAATATAACTTGAGACGCGAAATAAGATTCTTTTATTCAATGCTGTTTTTAAACATAAAATGAAATGATATGTCACACATGTTACACTTACATTGTTATCAAACAATGCAAGATAGGTACCTGCACCTTCGATTTATTTCCATTTTCCCCAGACATTTTCATGTAATGGCTTAGAGTTGCAAAACAATTTCAATTAATAGAAACTGAAATTTAATAGCTTTTCTCCCACTATTCGGTGTAAAGCAAATGATCCCTACAGCATCATGAGATGTAGTTGTCTGCAAATAGTCTGCTCTGTAGCAAACATTCAGTTACCAACACAGTAAATGACTAAACAATGATCTTGTGTATCTGGGGTTTTGTTTCCCTTTTTTATGTCACTATCAATAGTTACGAAGAATTATATGACAATTAGGTAGTCGACCCAGTTACAATTTGCACCACCGCTTCCAGTAGTGGGTTAGACACATCGTTGCAGTGCATCTAGAAATAAGAAAAATCAATTTCTAAGAATGACTAGTATGCGGTTATTATATACAAATCCAACGCCATTTTGTCAATTGGAATTGAGTAACATATTTCAACTCTTCCACTCCCCCCCACCCCCGCGCAACTTTTTCGATGTCTACCGACATGGGGCCGTATGAATAAAAGTAAGCAAATGCTTATACTTGCAAAATTCAAAGTAAATACTCGTAACTGCTCCTCCATACTGGTCTGTTTAGCATGGTTTAGCAGCGCTGCACTGCGTCCTGTCCTTCTGCTTAGAAACGCTGCTAAATCGCCCAGGGCGAAGGAGCACTTACGAGTATTTAGTTTGAATTTTGCAAGTATAAGCATTACTTTTATTCATACGGCCCATGGTCTCACCAGTCACCAAACTGACAGACGAACTAAATTCCAATTTTAATATACTGGGACTAGGATGTGAGTTAATTTAAATATGGGAAATAGTTACTCTATAGAACTCTATGGACATATTTTTAACCTGATATTAATTTAGTTCCGCTTTGAAAATATAAATCCGTGCGATGAGGAAGTACATTGGCGCGTAATCTTGTTACCTTTGTGTAACGAGTTCAATTGGGTTATGTAAAAAAAAGAGCTTTTGAAACTGAGACCTTTTGTTAAAATTCTTTTTGATAGTCTGGATACGTGTATAGGTAGATGGATATTATAGAGAAGACAATATAGATACATCAAAGGTTGATTATTAATAACGTTAGAAGGGAGAAATGTTCGCAAGGCCATTCATAATGTGTTGAAACACCAATTACAGCTCTTGTTGAAAATTGGACGTAGTGCAAACTGAATATGATTTTAATATGCAAGAACGATTCAGTCATAATGCAGCCATGCACGTGATATTGCACAATACTTGTGCTTTCCATAGCTGCATTTATTTGTTATTTCTAATGTTGTTTCCATTTACTTAATTAGTGAGTATTTAATCAACAGTGCGAAACTCTAGACAGCATTGTATCGATTTTGTCCTTTTTTACCCCAGTGGAGGGTTTCGTATTTAACGCAATAAGTATTCTATGAGCTTAAGAACAAAAAATCTTACTAGATATCAATTTAAATAACAAATTGAACCCCTATATTTGAAATTTAATTGATCGTGCAGTTTACATTACGGATATCATTAGTTAGAAGTTAGATAATTCCGGTGTA